AGCGGAGGGAGGCCTGGGTCGAAACTGAAAGGAAAACAACTCCTGGGAGCCCGGTGCTTTTTGACGAACGAGCAACACACACACACACACCCATACCCATAGGGGGGTCGTTGGGAGGAGGACTGGCTATGGGTATGGGTGCGGGCTGTCAGACCCTGGGGAACGCTCCCCTTCGAGCGGGGGCCCCCGTCCGACAACACGCACCCACAGCCCTCTCCGACCCCCCTAGGGGTATGGGTGTGTGTGTGTGTGTTGTTGCTTCGTCACTTGTCCCGTTCGGCCTCCAGGCACTCAGTGAGGCAAGGAAGCGCGGGGCGAGGCACGCGGAGGAGGGGCCCGAAGGAGGGGTGAACACACGGGAGGAGGGGCAGGGACAAGAGCGCATCGGGGGAGAGGCCGGAGGAGCGAGGGGCCAGGGCGGAGGGAAGGCTGAGGAGGGAGGAGCCGCCACCTCTGAGAGGGCCCTGGGACACACAAAGGAATGCACACAAATAAAATGATCCCCCATGTTTTCCCATGTTTTCTGGGCTTCTGTCTTCCCCCCCACGGCCCACATTTTCCCATAGGTTCTGGGGAATCGACCATTAATTGTGTCTGGGTGTGCTTTTTTCCCTCCTGAACCTCCCAGCTCGCTGCCGTCTGGAATGTCTCGTGGCAGTATCCCGGGGGCTCTCGGAGGGAGGGAAGAGGAGAGAGGAGTCGCCTTCTCCGAGTTCGCTCCTGGGGTTGTGGATGCCACGACAATGGACGTCCGAACAGTCCGATCATCGAATGAAAAATGTGCTCAACATGTCGGCAAAATGCCCTGGAAATGTTCAAACATGTTTTACAAGCTTCAACAGTTTTAACACATGTTCTAGACATCTGGAAATTATTTGGCAACATGCTTCCTCTCCATTGATCGTCCTCCACAATCACGGGGGCTCTCTGAGGCGTCTTGCAAAAATGAGCCCGCAGGTCGGTGCAAGAGCAGCGTCGGTGCACGGATCTGCCCGCAGGTCCCGAGCAGAACGGCAGACTGACTGCCCGTCGACCCTGGCGAGAAAACGGGGATGCAATCGCAAGCGGCTCGTGCTTTGCCGGCACGCTTCGACGTAGCTTCCAAAGTGGGCAGGTTGAGAAAAATAGGACTCCAAGGAGTCTAGCAGAGCCAAGAGAGGTAGAGAAAGAGAGAGAGTTCAATAGGTGCGGAATCTGAAACATCGGCAGCAGCAAGCTTTTCATCGCTCGAGCTAGCTTCGCAAAGAGCGTTTTTGGAGCCTCGCTCGCTGGTGCTTCTTCGGGCGTCATGCGAGTCTCTTGTAGCCTCTGGAGGCCCTTTGGGTGCGCTCGGGGCGCTTCTTGGGTGCATCTTGGGGCGCCCTTGGGGATCAGGCGCAAGCCTCGGAAGCGTATTGCAGGCAAAAGTGCGAGACCGCAAAAAAACATATACTTTCCGTTGGATTCTGAATGATCTTGGCCTCTCTCGGGCTTCCTCGGAGCTCTTTTGAACTGTCTTGGGCGCCTTTTGGAAGCTTCTTGGCGCTTTCTTGGGTGCTCGTGGGAGCCTCAGGGCCCTTTGGGGCTGTCTCAGAGGCATTCGGGGCCGTCCCGAAGCTTCCTGGGGCCGCCTGGGAGGCCCAAGAGGGCACCCCGAAACTCTCCTAGGGCCGCCTAGGAGATCAGGGAGAGCGGTGATCGAGGTGTGGGTCGGAGCCCTGGGAGGGGATGGGGGGGGGCGCTCTTGGGGCATCTTGAAGGGCCTCTTGCGCCGTCTTGGGGCCACCCTGGGCGGTTTGGAACCCCGCTAGGGCCGTTTCCTGGCGCCCCAGAGCTCGTTGTGGGGTCGTCTGCGGGCGTTCTGGGCTGTCCTGGGGCCGTCTTGGGCCGTTTCGGCAGCCTGCTGAGTGTTTGTGGGCTCTCTTCGGAAGGCTTTTTCGGCAGTCTTGGAACGTGATGGGGGCTCCCAGGGCCGTCCTGTAGCGTCGGGGGGCCGACACAGGGACAACACGGACATCCCGGAAAACACAGACAAAACATAAAAGATCGTCAGAATTTGCCTCGGGCGGGCTTTCACGAGGTGCTGCTGCAGATTCTCCAGGGCCTCTTCGGAGCCTCTTAGGCCGTCTTGGGGCTCTCCGTGTGCGCTCTCAGTGTGTCTTGGGGGCCTCGCGGGCTACCCTGATCGTCTTCGCGCGCCGTCGGGGCCGTCGTGAGCACCTGGAAGTGGTCGTGGACGCAAGAGGTGCCAAGTGGCCCCGTCCTGGAGATCCCGGCCCCCAATGCCCTGCAGAGGTCCCTGTGCCGGAGCCCCCGGGCCTCGCCCCCCGGGGTATACATATATATATATATATATATATACATATACATATATATACACATACATACATACATACATACATACATACATACATACATGCATGCATGCATGCATGCATGCATGCATGCAAGCATACCTACATACATACATACATGCATGCATGCATACATACATACACACAAACATGCATGCATGTATGCATGCATGCATACATACATCCTTCTACAGATATACATACACATACCTATACGACCACCCTTCGGGTGATAAGGAACCAACGTCTCACTCGATCGGTCTCACTATCGATCTCACTATCGATCTCACTATCGGTCTCGCTCGATCGATCTCACTCGATCGATCTCACAATCGAACTCACTCGATATATTTCATTCGATCGATCTCACAATCGATCTGACTATCGATCTCACAATCGATCTCACTATCGATCTAACTATCGATCTCAAAATCGATCTCACAATCAACGTCATCATCCTCATCATCATCATCAAGAGCACCATCACCATCGTCATCAACATCATCATCATCATCATCATCAGCATCATCGTCACCATCATCATCACCAGCATCACCATCGGGACATCATCATCGTCACCATCACCATCACCATCACCATCACCATCATCATCATCATCATCATCATCATCATCATCATCATCATCATCATCATCATCGGGACACTATCATCATATTCGGAACACCACCATCATCACCATCACCATCTCATCATCATGATCATGAACAACATCATCAATAGCATCATCATCGGGACACCATCATCATCATCATCATCATCATCATTCTCATCATCGTCATCATCATTAGCAACATCATCATCATTAACATCATCATCATCGGAACACCATCATCATCGCCACTATCATCATCATCACCATCATCATCATCAACATCATCGGGACACCATCATCATCAACACCAGCATCATCACCATCATTGGGCCACCATCATCACCATCATCAGCATCACCTCATCCTCATCCTCATCATCAACATCATCATCGGGACAAAATCATCGTCATCATCATGATCATCATCATCATCATCATCATCATCATCATCATCGGGACACCATGATCATCAGCAGCATCATCATCAACAGCATCATCATCATCAACCTCATCATCATCATCGGGACACCATCATCATCATCATCATCATCTTCATCGCCATCATCAAATCATCTGATCATCATCAACATCATGAGGATCATCAACATCGTCATCATCGGGGCACCATCATCATCAGCAACATCAGCATCATCAACATCAAAATCATCGGGGCACCATCATCATCACCACCATCACCATCATCATCATCATCAACATCGTCAACATTATCATCATCGGGACACCATCATCACCACCACCATCACCATCATCATCATCATCATCATCATCATCATCATCATCATCATCATCGTCAACATCATCAACATCATCATCATCATCATCATCATCATCATCATCATCGTCATCGGGACACCGACGGGACACCGGCGGGACACCGGCGGGACACCGCGCGCCACCGGCCCCCGAGCGGGACCCCGGCGGGACACCGCGGGGCACCGATTGCCGGAAGGGAGAGTTTTGGTCCAGCCGCGCCTCATCTACAGGAGACTCATTTCTCGCCCGCCCACGCAGCTTCGCCTCGCCCGCACGCACGGCACGCACGAACACGAAACCGAAGCCGATTTCCCGGTAGGGGGGCTCTCCGTTCCACTTCGATCTCACCCCCTCACCTCCGACATACATCTACCCATAAATGCATATACTAGAACCATCACGCACACTTAGCTTGCTCTCATATTCTAGCCCAGGCTGGGGGGGGGCTGGGAGATTTTGGGCAGCGCTATCGAAAGCAGGCGCGTGACACGGTCGTACCCATCCTCACCCACCTCCTGATGACAGACCTACTTTGCATAATCCTTCTCATAATACTCCTCGTGATCACACAAGCCATCATGATCAGACTCACAATGAACATCATCAACAGCACCATGGAGAACATCACTGGCCCAGTGTTGCGTGTTTTGATAGTACGTCCAAGTCGCGCATCATCATGATCGTCATCATCACCCTCGTCCTCGTCAGTCTCATCATCATCGGTCCCCGAGCCCTTCTGCGACCAGAAACTGTTGCTTAGCGTGTCGCGGCGGCGACCCCTGCGACGCGCCATGCCCTGCAAGCGGATAGAGTGTCACTCCGCTTCGCTGGGGTGGAGGGCTGGAAAATGCTCGGGACGCGACGAAGAGCACTATCCCGATGATGCGCCCCTGAATCTCATAACGAATGTTAGGTCGGGCATGTTGCCCTACAGGGGGATCGTGGGCGAAAAATCAAGAATAGTCAAAAATATTCCAAAATGGACGAAAATAGTCAAACAAATCCGATATTTCTACTATTTTTGAATATTCCTCGTGTAGAGGGACAGTCCCGATTTCAAAACGAGTGCGTGGCTTCCTGGTGGTCTCTGGGAAGCCTTGCAAGGGCATGTACACGTCGTTCATTTCTAACCGTTCTCATCTCGAATTGTGCTCGTTTCTAATTGTTCCTGGCCCCCTGGTGGCCAGGAAGAGGCCCAGGATAGAACAACTAGAAATGAAAGGATCCTGGCCGCCAAAAAAATCAGAGAACTTTCGAAGAATTACGAACGAACAGTGTGTATGGGGGGCGCCTTGCGGGTCGCTTTGGACCTCTGGACGGGGGCTCCGTGGCGCCTCCTGGGAACCTCAGTAGGGGACCTCTTCGGAGCGCCTCCAGGACTCCACGAGCTTCCCCGCGGGGCCCCTGGACCCTGCTGGGCCAGATGCGCAGTGGTGGACCATCCCCTGCGGCAGCAGGAGGAAAAGGAGGAGAAGCAGCAGGGGAGGAGGAGGAGGAGGAGGAGGAGGAGGAGGAGAAGGAGGAGGAGGAGCAGGAGGAGCTTCAAAATCCAGCTCTGCAAGCTAAACTGCGCGCGCGTGCGCAACTCGTGCACGCCGCGTGGCAGCTCCAGGTCACTCGATGGCCTGCGCGAGGGAGGCGGCAAGCCAGTCCATGACCTGAACCTCCGCTCCGTTCGGCGCGCCCGGAATCTCCGCAAACTTCACAATGCGGGCTGTCCCAGTCCTGGTCTCGAGATCCTTGGAGAGGCCCTGCTTGGCGATGTCCTCTGCCACCTGCGCGTCCATCTTCGACGCCTGCTGGAAGAGAGCGCCCTTGAGGTCGCTCTTGATGGGAGCGCCGTCGACTCCCCACTGCGGGTTCTTGAATCTCACCTTCATGAAATTGTCCTTCTCAAGCCTGTCCCATAGCTTGTCTGTCGCGGTCCCCTTCACGACGACAGTGATGTTGATATCCTGCCCAGCTTCGAAAAGATCGCTGTTCAGCTCATACGCCAGCACAGCGGCGTCGTGCGCGAGATTCGCGACGGCCTTTTTAGGAATCTGCCCGTCGGCCACCGTGGAGGCCCAGCCCTTGGTTGAGATGTCCACGATGAAGTTCGCGCGTCCCTCGGGGGTGCGAGGGTAGGTGAAGTTGCTCTCGCGACGGATCGCCACCTCGGCCTCGAACGCCTTGTTGATCTCCTCGCCGAGGGCCTGGTTGTTCTTCTCGTTGACGCCAGGGTTCTCCTTCCGAAACTTCATCAGCTGCTTCCTGAACTTGTTGGAGTTCCAGGTGCCGTCGTCGTGAATGCCGGCAGACTTCTCGAACTTGTTGACGAGCTGTGGGGACCACATGAGCTCGGTGGTGACGTCCAGCGGAATCATGTCGAAGCCAACAGAAGATGGGCGCTCGGTCAGGAACTCTGCGAGCGGCACCGACCCTGCCCACGCGTTGAACTCGGACAGCGGAGCGATGTTCCCGCGGCGCCGCAGTCCCACGTTCCAGTCGCCGTTCTGAAGGGGCGCGTAGGCGATCCCCTTCCTCTGCTCCGCCGACAGCTTGCCGGGCACCACGAAGCTTCCGCCCATCCAGATCACGCGGTTGACTCGCTGGGCCAAGACGTCCTTGCTGGCAGACGCGACGTTGGTGAGCGGCCCGATGACGAGCACGTCGCAGTCCTTCTCCCCGCACATGGCCTCCAGACGCTGCCCCAGGAACGCCCCTGGGTCTCCATCCGAGTCTCGGGTGGGGAAGCTCACGTTGGCGCCAAGAGCGATGAACTCCGCCATGCCACACATGCTCTCTTTGCCGTGGATGTGCTCGGCACATCCACGGCCACCTGGCGGCTGGTACTTGCCCTCCGTGTCCTGGAAGAGCAGGCCCATGTCGCCCGCCTTGCTGTCGTCGACGTGGGGTGTGGAGAAGTATACATCTTCCATGCCGAACAAGGAAAGGAGCCTCGGAAAGGAGTAGTTGCTAATCCAGGCGGGGATGTTGCCGTCGGTCACTCCAATCCCGATGATGCAGATCTTCCCCAGCCGGTGCTGCGCGAACGCCGAGATCAGCGCCAGGTTGTCGTCGATGCCGACGTCGGTGTCGATGTAGACCTTCTTGCAGTCCTCGCTCAGGGAGACCCGGTCGGCGGTGCCAGGTCCGCTCTTGTGCCAGGCGTTGCCCGCGACTCCAGCGGACGCCACCAGGAGAGCGGCCGACCGCTGCTGCGGCAACCGTCCGCCGGCATCGCCGCGGAGCTCGCGCGGGCGCCTCCTGGCCCGACTCCTCATCGGTGGAACCGGAGAACGGCAGACTCTGATGGCTTGGCGCCATGGCGGTCCAGCTCAAGAGAACTTGCGACTAGAATTGCGGCGAGGGGGCTTGAGCCAAAATGGCCATGGAGGGATCCACGATGTTCTTCTCAGTGGGTGCTGGGAAGACGAACCGGGGGTCCTCGGCCACGGCGGTGGTGTCCCCGGACGCGTCCGACGCGGCCTCTACGTCAGAATCGCTGACCGTGATGAGATATTCTTTGTCCCGACGAGTTGCCAGACGGCTTCTCCACCGTCACGGATGTCAGCGAAATCACCCAGGCTGAAACCGAATGCCAGCTCGACGCAGCGGCGAAGCCCGAGAACACCTGGGGGGTCCAAGGCCCCTGCGAGCCCAAAGAGGGCGTCGGGGTGATCCCCGATCGTGCCGAGGTCGCCGAGTGGAAGGACGTAGTCATCCATGTCGCGAAGCGCTGAGCTCTGCCGCGTGCCGTTGCATCATGGCCGACGTGGTAGGCTCCACAGGTATCCTC